CTTTATCTCTGAAGAAGGATGTGAGAGAAGCTGTTCCCTGCTTTGCTGTGACAACCTCCCAGGAACAGCTCTGGGAGTGTTCTGGTGTGACATCTCAGCCCAGCTCTGTCCCAGGAACTCTCCAGGTGGGGCTGATGCCCTGAGCCCACCTTGGGCTCACCTTGTCTCTCCATCCCACCTGCGGAGCCTGGGGGTCACCTGAGTTAGGAACAGGACATAGATCCTGTCTTCAGTAAACAACTACACAACTTTTGGCTCAACAGAACCCTGAGGAAGCCTTTAAGCACCCTTTTTATATAAAAAAAAAGTAGTGGGGTTGATTTACAACCATGAAATGTCTTTTGTTTCACCTCTACGGTGAATAAAGTCTAAATAAACGCACACCAGCTGTGGTGTCTCAATGCCAAGGGGCTCCTCAGCCCCAAACTCTTCTCAATAGCAGCTGAACAGCACCAGGAATCAGGAAGGTTTAAACTCCCTGGTGAGCCTTGGTCCTGGTTATTAAACAGTTTCTAAATGATTTGGAATTGCGTTGAGGGGTCTTGTGTTGTTCCAGCATTCCCAAAAGGAGCACATCCTACTTAGATTTGAGTCTAGACCTGGGAGACATGCTGAAAAATATCTTGTAGTAGATGTACACGTTGGTAATCCTCAGCAGAATTCCCAGGATGTAGCTGAGGGACCTGAGCAGGGCCACGGCCGCGCTGGAGAGCCGGAACAGGAGCCCCAAAGGGCCGCTGGCGCTCAGGTGGGCATCCATGAGGAACAGGGCACACTCCGCGGCCACCAGCGTCCAGATCACCCTGGATATCCTCCTGGCGTTCCTGACTGTCCGTAGGGGCCGTGACTCCGAGGGCAGGAAGGTGATCAGATAGGCCTCGAAGGCCACACAGCTGAGCAGGACACAGCTCACGTGGGCATTGGCCGTGAGGAGGATCTGCGCCACGGCCGAGGCTGCAGGAGAGACAGCACCACCAGAACTCCCCAAAACCACCTCAGACACAAGGCTAAGGAAAACCAGGATGTCTGCCTGGGCCAGGCTGGAAATGAAGACTGCAGTGGACTTGGAGGAGACGTTGGCAGACTGCAGGAGGATCATGGTGTACACGCTGCCCAGCAGCCCCAGCAGGGTGCTGACAGTGTTAGAGGAAGACAGGACAAGGTATTGGATATACTTCAGTGCCAGGTATCTTCTGAGATCTCTCATGTGGTCTCTCTCCATTGAAATGCCAGTTAGGGAAGAATACCTGGAAGACATATTAAAAAAGCCTCCAGTGATGTAATATAAAATTAGCAGGATGGATTCCAGGCAAACTGTGGTGGACCTGCACTTGTACAGCCACATTCCGGTGCCAAGAACTGCTTGGAGATGATGCCAGCTCAGGATCTGAGCTTGGATTTACACACTGATATCATAAACAGGAATGAAGTTTGTAAATGCCTGGATATTTTTAGGTAGCAGCATAATTTGTGTAACCTTGTGCTGAAGGGGAGTAAGTGTGAATTATCCCTGTCCCTGAAAGGGAGGAGGCAGAAAATGATAAGCTGCAGTTCTTAGAAAATACTAAAATCATCTCCAAATTCAATTCTAACAAATAAACAAGGAAATTGTTATCTAAATAGGAGACAGGAGATAAGGAGGAGCAATGTGGGTTTCTCACAGATAAAACAAATTGATTGAACCCAGCTTCCTCCTGCAGCAGGGTGATCAACCCTGGTGGGAACCAGCCTGTGTCACAGAGCTTGAATTTTCTGAAGAAATTCAATATTGTTTCACTGAGGCATTTTTAGGGAGGAGCAAGGTAAGAAATGTGGCCCAGGTGAAGCTGTGGTGAAGTCATTCACAGCTGGATGGGAAAGCCAGGGAAGGCTCATTCTCAGGAATTCGAGGAATGATGTGTCAGGTGGGGCTCTGCAGAGATCTCACATTTTGTGGTTTTCATGAGCTGCAAGAATGAACTCAGCAGAATTTGGGCCTTGACTAAGGTGTGTTACCAGTTTTGAGGCTTACAGCCCCAAAAAGGTGCCACTGCAGAAGTTTCAGGGAGGCTGATCCTCAGAGATCGAGCCCACTGTAACAATTCCATTTCTCTCCTATTGAGCAATTATCTCCATATGTAAATTCCCAGAATTCCCAATGTCAGCACCTTGGAGCTGGTGTTACAGAGCATTTCCAGAGCATTACTGAACAGGTCTGGGTGGTTGCTTGAGTCATTACCTGGGTTTTATTTTGCTGGGATGATGGGAAAATGATAATCCCGAGTGATTCCCACGAAAGGTACGGAGCCAGGTTTTTTGAGGCTGGGATTCCCATTGCTTGTAAAGACTTGACTGGTACCAGGTTGACTCATCTGAGATTCAAATGTGCCTGTTTCTCCTTTGTCTTTGCAGTGTCTGATCCACTGCTGAAGGATTACTTTGGGAAAGAAGTAGGAAAAGATTTCTCCCCATATTTCAGCTGAGTCAACTCATCCTACCCTCACTTCCCACAGTGATTAAATGAAAAAACGATTCTGCATTTTGTGGTAAAAGCAAATGATCTTAGATCTTTCTCCAACCTTAATGACTCCATGATTGGTTTGACCCCTTTGTTTTGATACAGAGCACCAGAGCAATTCCAATCTAATGGAACAAACCCTGAATCCACAGCCTGGAATTCGTGCAAGTCCCCAGCTCCAAGAGGAGGAGAACCAAGCCGTGACATGTACAGCTGAATCCTGATTTACCTTCTTATCTTCAAGCAAGTTCCTCCTTTGAAAGGTACATTAAGAATCTCCTGTCATTGTTTTTTTCTTGCAACCTATATCTGTGTCCATTTCCATTAATTATATTTTTAAGGAGATAAATTACACGCCTTGATAAAAATAATTGTTTGTTTTAGGACCACCATCCAAGAACTGGATGAATCTTGTCCATGTGGAGCATTTCAACTCAGAGCTCCTGGACCTTGGGTCCTACCTTACCCCAGGGTTTGGTGATGAGTCCAAGGAGGAGCGTTAGGAATCAGGAGCAGCCGGAGAAGCCAGAGGAAGTGCTCAGGGCAGAACCCTGAGGAGCTCAAAATGTTTCTCCCATCCTCTCTTCTTGAAACCTCAGCATTTTCCATAGTGCTGCCGGCATTTTTCTGAACACCACTGTCCTTTGGAAAGGAACTGGAGCTTCTGGCTGGAAGCTGTCTTCCTGCTGGTGACAACCAGAGGTATCCATCCCTTCATTCCACAGCCGCCCCTCGAGGCAGGATTGCTGCCAGGGCTCCCTCCTGCTCCCTCTGCCTCTTCCACACCATAATTTAGGGGTTAAAACTGGCATCCAGAATGCAGCAGGGCAAGGTTTGATTTCCTCCTTCGCCTCAGGGGATTGAGATGTTTATCTCCCTGGGAGGATAGGGATTGACCTCGTGCCTCCCAAGGAATCTGGGCACAGTGTGAGAAAACAGATGACACCCTTGGCAGGGATCAGGAGCAGCCCCATGGGTCACCACACAGTCACTTGCACGTGGCTGATAGGGAAGAGACATCCCAGTTCCTGGCACTTGCTGCAAGTCCTGTTTGGATTCGTCTGCTCTTGTGAATGAAGCAGAGCTGGGAAATGTTCCCAGGTGCTGGAGCTCAATTCATGGAGAGCTCCGGTGGCCCCTGGCAGAGTTTTGGCACTGCCAATGCCCACCCTCCATGGGGACACGGGCTGGGCTGTGGCAGGAGGAGGCAGGGAATGCTGTCGCCAAATCAGTGCCAGAGAGCACCCTGGGCACGGCACTGGTCAGACACAGCCTCTGCACAGGTAAGAGACAGGTAAAATTGGGTGAAGAGCAGGTCCATGAAGAGAGCACAGGCAGGGGCTGAAGCCACAAACTCCTCCTGTGTGGCTCAGCTGAGCTCCCACTGCCAGGATCAGCATCCACAGCTTCCTCCAGCCGGGAAATCCCACCAGCCCACAAAGACATTCGGTGAGGAGAGAGCAATCCCTTCCCTCTGCCTGCTCCTGGGCAGGTGGGATCACTCCTGGTAGGGGAACAGGAGTGGGGAGCTGTTTCCTGAATGTTTCCAGAGTGGCCACACTCAGTGGAGGAGGAAACCTGAGATTCACCCATTTATTTACAGTTTTCAAAGCTCTTGTGGCCTGCGGTTCAGGTCACCCACAAGAGGATTCCTGCACATGGACAGGGAAACTTGGACAGTTTCTGGTCAGATGAAATCTCAGTTCAAGCTCACAGAAGGTTTCCTGATCCAAGAATTGGTGTTTTCAGTGCACTACTCCTTTTATCTCCACAGAAATCTCTCCTGACACACTTCCCAAATTCCAGTTAATAATTACTTCTCATTTGTCATAAGTACACTCTTGTAGTTTAAGGGGTACCCAAAAATACCTCCTGCTCTTAAACAGGTAATTCCTTTCAAAATTCCTCCTGGAATGATGTCAAAGAACATAGAGAAGAGGAGAACAAATTAAAAAGGCACATTAGCTCTGAATATCCCAACTGTAATGAAGTGCTATTCCTCATCTGAAAAGGAAAAATACTTACATTTGCTGGAAGAAGCAGCCAGGGATAGTTTTCTGCATCCCTGCACTCTGTGTGATGTCTCAGCAGAGCTGAAATGTGCAGTTTCCCTTGGAATGATTCCTGGTTTTTATACAGAGCGCCCCGTGTTCGGCTCCACGTCACTGCTGGGGCCACGGGATTTGTTTTGCTGGGCAACTTCCTCCAGAGCTGGTTTCACAAGGATTACTCACTTGAATCATGGTGCCCATTAACTTTCAGCTGTCTGGAAAAACTGATGGCCTGAGTGGGAAAGGAGTCCCAGACACTTCCTCACACACACAGGCTGGAGCAGATTACAGGGAGTGATCCCGGACTTGTCTGGGTGCTGCGGGAGCCAGCACGGGTTATCCATGAGAAAACCCTCTGAGCAAAGCAAGGATGTCCCTGGCACGGCTGGACTGGGCTATCCCGGGATGTTTGTGTTGGTGTTGCCTGGGACACCCAGGTTTGGTGCTGCTGACGTTGCACTCCCGCTCCTCATTGTTCTCCAGGGTCGGTCAGAGCCAGGTTCTTCCCTGTTTCAGGAAGTTTCCTCACGGTGAGGAGCAGGGGAGCATCCCACAGCCCCATGGGGAGCAGCAAACACACACACCCCAGGCACACAGGGCTCCGGGTGCCCATCCCACGCCTCCCACCAGGCCATGGAAACAGGGAATGGAAGGCAGTGACGCCTCCTCGGTCTCTGGTCAGCCAGGAGGGTTCAGTGCCCGTCCCACACCAGCCCCACCATTCCCCTCAGCGCTTCCTGAAGCCATAGACAGCTGTGGAAGGATAAAACAGTGGAAATTCCAGGTGCTGCAAAGCTCTGGCACTGCTGTCCCCACCTGAGGATGGTGCAGGGAAGGAAGCCCAGGGTTCCTCACCCGGAGGCACTGGGGGGAACATCTGCCAGAGGCAGAGAAGGCCCTTGGAAACAGGGATTGGGCCGGGTGGCAATTAATATAATTTGTGCTTGGATTTAATGTGTAAATATTCATTTTTGTATTTGATTTGTTTTGCCAGGGACTCTCCATAGCGGTTTCTTGTTTTAAAACTTCTGCTGTACTTCACAACTCCTATTATCTTTTACAACTCCTATTCTATTTCACAACTTCTGTTGTATTTGCTTATTTTCCTTTCCTGCCACGATGATACAACAGAACCAGCATTCTGCAAACTGTCACACTTTTCTCAGCAGCTCAAAATTTCACAATGTCTTGGGGACAGATAAGATGAACCCTCCATCTCCCCAGGGCACCACCCTTTTGGGTAAGAGCTTCCCCTGTGCCACCCACCTTGTGAAAACAGCAGGAAACTCCTTTTTTTGGGGCAGGTGTGAGGCTGAGATGGGGGATCTGTCCCTGGCTGTGCCCAGTTTCACCAGCCATGGGGAAGGTGCTGGAATCTCCAATCAGCTCTCTCATTTAATCAGTTTATCTTTACCTCCCCATGGCTGGTGGCTCCTCCCTGAACCCCCCTGGTGCCTCCACAAACAGAACAAGCACAGCTTTCCCAATTAATTTCTGTTTGCTGGGAGCTGGTATTTTTCCATAACCTGTTTATTTTGTGCTACACCTTTGTTTGAAGGCTGTGCCCAGCTCCCTGCAGTGATTACAGTGCCCTTTACAGCTCAGCACTTTCTCCTCCTTTCTTTTCTTTTTTTTTTTTTTAATTCTCTCAGCAATTGAATTTAATTAGAATTCAGCTCTACATAAGAAAATTCAAGTTTTCTTCTGTCTGAAGCACTTCACTTTTCATCCATGAGGGTTTCCAGCATTCTTCCCTTGCCATCTCATAGAACCACAGAATAATGGAATCACAGGGTGGTTTGGAAGGGATTGCAAAGCTCTTCCAGTCCCAGCCCCAGGCAGGGACACCTTCCACCAGCCCAGGTTGCTCCAAGCCCCATCCAGCCTGGCCTTAGGCACTTCCAGGAACGAGGCAGCCACAGCTGCTCTGGGCCCAGGGAAATGACATCAGCTGAATATTTTGTATTTTTAGGAGTTTTTTTTGGCACACTTGAAGATTCTGAGGGAATTGAGGGAGGACAATTTTCTTTGCAAATAACTCTGCAGTTTGGTCCTACAAGCCAGGTTCTGATCCCTGTTCCCTAGCGGTTATCCAGTTACCTGGTCCTGATGGTGCCAGCTGCCGTCCTGGGCTGGCTAAAGGCTCAGGAACTCAGTCTGGGCTGCTCTTCTCATGCTTTTCCTTGGTTTTATTTTCTCTTGGGTTGTTTGAGAAATCAGAGGAGGTCCTGTCAGATCTTCACCCAAGGTGTCCTGGTTTTTCCTCCTGAAGTGTCTCCTGCTTGGACATCTGACTTGACATCATTTTCCATCTTTATTATCCCCAGAGAAAGTGCATTTCTTCAGCACCTTTTGTGTTTCCCCCTTGAAGTTCTCCACATTTCCGCCTCTCCCTTGCCTGGCAGAGCTCAAGAAGCTTCTTTTCCAAGTCAAACCCAGCTGAATGATTGTCTCTTCTGGCTGGAAAACGGAGAAGGAGAAGCCAGGTAAATATAAATGTGGGTATGAGGAGGGTCTGGGTGACACAGAGTCTGGAGGGTAGGAGTGATCTGTCACAGCTCCCACTGCCACCAAGCCACAGCCAGAGCTCCACTGGCAGCAGAGCAGCAGGAGGCTGCCCAGAAGTGCTGAGCTGACCTCCATGTCCTTCCTGATGGGAAAACAGCAGATCCTGCATGCTGGAGAAGCAGGAAGTGGCAAAGGTCAGCCCTTGTCCCTGCTGGCTCAGGTGGGGATGTATGACCTGGGTGTACCCTGCCCCTCTCTCAAGAACATGAGTTTCCCTTTTTCCCTTTTCAGAGAACTCATCAAGAAAGGAAATCATCATCTCGCTTGTTTTATCGCCATTATTCTCCATTTTCAGGGTAGAAAAGGAAATTACCTCCTAACGAGAGCAAATGAGGGATAAAGCATTACTAATGGAATGTTTATTCCTTGTGGGCAGCAATTCCAGCCATAAGACAGGATTTCATCAGCCCCTTTTCAAGAGCTGGCAGCAAAGATTTCCTTACAGGGAGACAGGGACGAGGTTGATGGCACAATCCTTTTTGTTAAGGTGTAGAATTGATCAAGATTGCAGAAAAAAATGCATAAAGAAGTGGTGGTGATTCATAAAACTGGGAGGAAGGACTCAGTGCAAGACTTTTAATGCAAATCTCAGGGTGTTCTGGCTTCCTCCTTCACTAATTCCCACTTCCAGTGAGGAAATAATCGTGGAACAGAACTTTGGGACATGCCCTTTATCCAGGAGCTGAGGTGGAAATTCCCACTGCTGTCCTTAGCTGAAATTTTGGGAATAGCTTGAACAAGCTCAGAAGTTCTCAGCTGGCAGCTCTTCTAAGGAATAGTGCAGGGAGGGCTGAGCTTCCCCAGCCCCACTCAACTCCTCAGGGCTCCCATCCTGCAGAACTCTGCCCCTGCCTGCTCCAACCCCTCCCAGGAAATCCACGGAGCTCCTGGATTTCTGCCAGTGCTGTGCCATGGACAGACCCTCGTGGGGATTCTTTCTGCTCCTCTCGTGGTTTCACCTCAGCCTCTCGCTCGGGTGCGAGTGCTCCTGGTCAGATCAGCCTGGTTCCAGTTGAACTCCGTGCTTTCCTTTGAGTCACAACATTCCACTGCTCAGCTCATCCCCAGGGATGAGGCTGGTAGGAATTTCCCTGGAAGCCACAGATTTCCTCTGTCTTCTGCTGAACTCATTCATCCTCCCCACCCTCACCCCAACACAGCCCATCCTGGCTGGACTGTCTCCATCCCCACCATGGACCCAGAGCAGGAAATTATTTCCATACAGGGTTTTCCTCAGCCATGAATTTTGTCACTTTTCCCATTCCAGTGCTCTCCCCCATCCCTCCAGGAGGGAGCCAGAGGCAGTGTGGGGCTGGGATTGATCCAGGACATGGTGCCAGGCTCACTCCCAGGTGGAGGTGCCAGCCCAGAGGGGCTCAAGCAGAAGTGATGTCATGCCATGGCTCATCCAAATTCACCTGGAGTAGGGTTTCTCCATCTTTTACACCGTGTTGTAAAGTGAGAGCAGAGCAAACGCTCATTGCCATGGTGGGGGGTAAATGGAAAGTCATTGGAAAAGCCCAAAGGAGCTTTTGGGATTGGAAAAGGACAGTAAAGCAATGACTGGAGCGTGGCAGGATTGGAGCAGGTGAAGCCTGTGCTGAGCAGGGATCTCTGAGAGCTCCCTCAGAGCCCAGCTGGGAATCCCAAACCACCAGGGACAGCTCCAATGCCATGATCCATCTCCATCCTGATCATCACACAAAGCAACCCTTCCTCCACAGGGAGCTGGAACAAGTGCATGAGGAATTACTGTCCCAGAAATCTCTCCTGAAGGAACACTGGTTATCTTCAGCTGGTGGGGGCAAAGCTGTCAGAAAGAAAAATTTATTATTACTTTAACAAACAATCCTAGGAGCTATTTCAAGTGTTATTGTTGCATGAAAGAATAAAAGAGGAAACAAATTCTGTGCTATTCAGTGCAATTCCCATATCAGTGAATGTGTTTGCTTTGGGTAGATGACAGGAATTAGAAAAATGTTTCCTACTGGGACCACAAAGATGGATAAAAATAACTTCCATAGAAAATCACCTAATTAAGAGAGTGACTCAAGTGTGCTGCTGCAAAACTTTGGGAGATCCGAGCTGCCAACCTGGAAAAATCCTTTTGGATCATGAAAATCCTCAATTCCTTGCAAAGGCAAATTAGGGTTTGGGTTTTTTATGGCAAAGGCCAATTGGGGTTTGGGGGTTTTGGGGCAAAGAGCTGGGACATCTCTAGCTCCTGTGGTCCAGGAGAATGGGTGGAAATAGAGGAAAATGTTGGTTTCTGCTCAAAGAAGAATTCTAGTCAAAGAAATTCTGTTCATCAGAGCAAACTGGTATCAGGATTTCCGGGCCTTATCTCTTGGCAGGTCACAAACTCTGCTGAAGCTGATGAAAGATCTGGGGGCAGGGGGAGAACCACATCTGTTAAATGGGGCATTGCCACAAGCTTGGTGGGGTTTTTTAGGGCCTCTCATGAGGATTTTTCAGGAGAAACTGCCTTTCCCCACCAGCTGAAGCTGCAGGTGGTGTCACCTGTGTCCCCACAAACCCAGGACAGCGCCGGTGGTCACCACCACAACCTGCACAGGGAAGCCTGGAGGATTCCCAGCTTCCTGGAGTTTTTTGGGATTTGTTCTTCCTTCTCTTTGAAGAGAGCAGTGGGACATGGAAAACAGGACCTGTGAGCCACCTGTTGTTCCTGGCAGCTCTGGAGCTGATCCACGGCAGGGATGAGCCAGGTGCTTGTGCTCACACAGTTTGCTGCACCAGCTGCTCCTTCCCAAATCTGTCTGGAAAACAAAAATAAAAGCTAAATACCCATGCTCCCGTTCCATGGCGTCTTTCTGCGCCCCAGGAAAAAGCGTTGTGGGAAAAATCAGAATGAAAACACAGCATAGAAAAATAATGGTAATAAAGCATAACTAAATAAATAACGAGGCAAGCCATGCCTTCAGCTGAACTAATGGCTTGTGGTTCCTGCAGGGAAAGGTTGGGAGCTGGGAAAACATCTGCCTGGTGCTTTTATAATTCTGTTATAATATTTAAAGACAAGGATGAGAGGCTGAAATTTGATTTTTGAAGCAATAGAGTGACTTGAGTGTGGATGGATTAATTATAAGATAAGGCAGAAATCAGTTGTCAGCCTGGAAGCTCAACAGAAGCAGAGCTGATGTGACTCAGAGGGCCAAAAAAGGCCAATTTTGATGATGTAGGGTCTGCAGGGAGCTGGAGTCAGCCAGAAATCTCTGAGATCACAGAGAGTTTGCACAAAAATCTGAATTCTCCCCAGAAGGGGCTGGGGTTGGAGTCAGTCCAAGGTCACTCCCAAGCCTGACCTTGCAAAGCCAGCAGGGTTTTGATGCACAGACACAGACTAAACAGGCAGAGCTGTGCTGGGTGATTTATATCTGTGGGTCCTCAGACTGTGGCAAAATTGAAACAAAATCTCATAAAAATTATTTCAGGGAGCTCAAAGAAAGCGGGGAAAAGAGCCAAATTCACCAGTGGCACTGACTGGAGTGAGCTGCAGCTCTCTAGCTCACAAAATGATGGCTCAGAAGCAGCACTGGGAGGGATTTAAGGTGTTTTTTTGGCAATGGGTGATGAACACCAGGCTGTACAAGGTGGCAATTACAGGAATCCTTCAACTCCCTGCTTCTCAGCACTTGGAAATCCATTGGAAAGGGTCAAAAAGTCCTTAATTCCAACAGACTCAAGCTCCACTGATATCAGAGTTATTTATCATCCCCCCTATCAGAGCTTTTCTTTGCAGGCAGTATTTTTGTGTTTTGTGGGATGTCCAGATGGATGGAAACAGCCACATCCTCTTTGGCCTTGAAATTGCCCAAACTCAGCCTCAATACGGTCACAAATCTTTAAGATAACATATTTATATATCAATATTTGAGTTGCTAAGTTCTGCATTTAATTACAGCTGGATTGAGCTGGAGATCAACACTCACCAGTCCCTTTCTGGAGTGTTGATCCCAGTCCTGACTGTCCCCAGCCTGGGCTGGGATTGTCCCCAGCCTCCACCACCTCCTGGAGCACCGTTTGAGACATCACTGATCACAAGGGAGATGATCTTTTGTGTGATATAATTTTATTTATATTTTCATTTTCAGTAAGACAGCTTTCCCACTGTCTGCCATCGCTGCTCCCCTGTGCTTTCCCAGTCCAGGTGAATAATCCATTTTAAAGCCCATTCCTGGCATTTTATGGGCCTGGGCTGCACAGAGAAGTTGAATCATGGCAGAAAAAGAGTAAAACCTTCTCCAGTGAGCATTAAAAAAAACCCAAAGAGCCATTTCCACCACATAAGATAAGAGCAGGCAGTTATATCATTGAGGGATGATTCAGAGCCCAGAGGAAGCATTTTTGGGCTGATCAGGAGCTGATAGACAGCCTGGCCTGAGAGCACATGCCATGAAATCCAAGCAGAAATGTTGGGACAGAAGTTTTGGAGCAAAAGATGGGAGCAAAAGCAGCTGAGTGTGGTGCTGTAGGATGGTTCAGACCACACAACTCCTCCCTCTGATGGAAAATGTGAATTATTTTCAGGCAGATGTACGGGTGACATTCAGGAAATGCGAGGTTGTAACGATTAAAACCAAAACTTGGATTTCATAAAGGTTTCTGGTGATATCTGCTGCAATCTGCTGAAGAAGCAGAGCTGCAGGAGGGCTGGAGGTGGGCACTGGTGCTGTAGGAACATCTTTTCACAAATTCCTGGTACGTGGGGTGTCCTTATCTGCCCTCAGCTCTGCACAAAGGGCCTGGCTAAGTCATCCCTCATCAGGGGCTTTCTCTTTGCATTTTTCCTTTCTGGTCAACAAGAAAAAAAACCAAAAAAACAACAACAACACAACAAAAAGCCCATCAAGATGAGAACTTGAGCGCTCAAAGAACAGGAAGTTTCTGATACCCTTTCCTGTGGTGTTTTTAACCAAACACTTTGCATATCTGATGCTCTAGATCTGTCATTGTCTCCAATTCTCATGCTGCAATTGCAAACCCTGCCCCTGAAGAGCTGGAAACGAAGAATTCCTTGAAGGGGAGCCAGAATGTTGTTGCTGCTGTGTGTTTCAATTTTTTCTGCTCCAAAGCTGAATTTTTGGGTTGGCCTCGGCTGCCCTGACATTTCCCTTGGCTGAAGAACCCGGGCGTGTCCAGCCCCAGGTCCCATCCTGCCTTCTCCTTTCTCCAACAGCTTGATTAGGCTTTTCCCATGTTACTTTAGCTGGTTTTTAATTTTATCCTTCCAAGCTCTTATCACTGTCCCCATCCATGCAGGGCCCACCTGATACCTGTTTTATTCCTTTGGGAATTAACATCCCAGGACTGAGCTCCACGGCTGCTCCAAGGGATCTCAGTTTGGACACGAGGCTTTCCCTGTCAGGCAGCAACAGAATCATCTTCCTGGTCCAGACCATTTTACCACCCAAATATAGCCCAGAAATCCAGGAATACTGTCCTAAAAAGAAGTAAAATGGCACTTGGGCGTATGGTCTTGACTTGGAAGTGCTGGATCATGGCTGGATAAATGATCTTCAGGGTCTTTTCCAACCTAAATCATTCCATGATTCCAGTTCCCCAGGTGGTTAATGTGTTGCAGTTGAAAAATGAGGTTTCTCCTGGGCAGAAGTTGGTCTTGGCCTTGTGTTCCCCGTGTCTCCCCAGGGCAAAACTGTGAATAAGAACAGAGAGCACAGGTGCAAATAAAATAAAATGTGAATAATTAAAAGGTTCATCCCACGGCATGGTGTGCTTGATCATCAAAGATCGATTGTGGAGGTTTAATTGACCTGGAATTTCTTCTTAATAGCTTTTAAGGAAAATCTGATTTCTGCATGGATGTTTCCACAGCTAACATGGAGCTGTTCAAATGCAAGGCAGGATCTGCATCCTGATGGATTTTTCCTTAGAAAAGCCTCTGGCAGGGGCTGCAGTTTTATTCCAACATGGGATGGTGAACATGACTTCTGGGATTCTGTAGAAAATACTTGGTGTGTGCTGTGTCCTGGATAGTTCTCTGGCCATCCTCAAATCCTGAGCATCCATTTAATATCACAAGGTGCACTAAATAAATACAGGCTCCAGCTGTCACCAGTGGGAGTTGGACTTGGGGAATCCTTGAGCTCTTTTCCAATCTTGGTTATTCTATGATTCATTAATTCACATGAATTTGCCTCTCTGTTTAGATTTGAGCAAACTTCTAAGTGCTACAAGACTTAAAAATAACATTGATGCCAAAAATCCACTTATTGTTTATTCCAAACCCTTTCCCAGAAGAGAATGCCAATTTGCACAGGCTCTTTCGGGCTTTTCAGTTTACTTTCCAAAAGAAGATTAAAGCAGAATTTCTCCATGAGGAACATTTGCTTTTGACCTGTTGAGTTTTCTGGGCCAAAGTTTGTTTTCTCATCTTCCAGTGACAAAGAAGTCTGGTGGGTTTTGGTATGAGAAAATTCTGCTGGCAAAAAATGAACATCAGACAGTTAAAATATCACTTTTGTGGGTGAGGAAGGCTCACAGTAGCCCCAGTTGGGAGGGTTAAAGTCACTGGTGACTTGCAAGAACCTTCACACGCAGTTCCAGCCTGAGGGTCAATAATGCACCTTTAGGTTTCCCCCATTCTGAAAAAATATTAGGATGAATGGATAATTTGGAGAGATTTGGATATAAAATACAGATTTCCCGTTGGTTCTACAAAACCAGGAGAATTCATAGAATTTCCCCAGCTCCACATAAACGAACCACCAGGGATGGGGAAATGTTTTCAGGCTGTTTTTCCCTGAGAGTGTTTCATCTGGAAGGGACACTGCGCATTCCCTGAGCGGTTTCTCGGTGATGGGACTTGTGAAATGCTGGAGGCAGAGCTCAAAGCCAGCCCTATCTGCCCCATCTGCTGCAGCCCT